CGGTGAGGGGTCCGGCGGGCGCCGCCAGTCTCGTAGCGGATCTGCGGGACTGGAGCGGAGACTGGAATTTGATGAAGCTACTAAAGAAAAGGGAAAGACCACCCAGACACCTTGCTTTTTCTTTTCTGCCTGTGCTTTTTTCTAGATACACTCTAACAGTAAATTAGAAAAGCAGCTTATTTCCACCTCACGTGTAAGGCAGTTGAGGTATTGGGAGATTAAACATACATGGCACAGTTGCTTAGAATCAAAGGAGCAAGCTTAAAGGGGGCAGATTATATTTGATTGGGACTCTTAAGACGATTTAATGTAGGAATATGTGTGAAGAAAAGATGTGCTAATTGCTAGGGCCTAGATACTGGTACGCTTATTATAAAGGAAAATGTACTGAATGGCCCTGTGCAGGAAAGATTCTTGCAACAGTTACCCAGTATATGGTGTGGTAACGAGTCAAGGAGATTGGGAGGATATTATATAAAGAGGTCTTCCAAAAACTAAAAGATGAGTAAAAAGAAACTAGGCTGAATATTAAAGATGGAATATATATGCAGCATTGTAAGGGATAATGAATTTGTATTCACCCATGTGTTCATAGGGACTATGTTGTCTTTAGGATCTTACAGTATTCACAAAGTCAGTACAGGTCAGTAACGGTGAGTAGTGCCTTGCCAGCAGCCAACAACTTGTTCTCTTAAATTATGACTTAAGGGCAACCAGGGAATATTGCAGCAGAGAAAGATCATGGAAGATACAACCCACAGGCGAGTAGCTTCATGTCTCATTATCATTCTGTTTTTACTTTGCAGCGTGAATGCATATCCATCCACGTTGGCCAGGCTGGTGTTCAGATTGGCAATGCATGTTGGGAATTGTATTGTCTTGAACATGGGATCCAGCCTGACGGTCAAGTGCCTAGTGATAATACTATGGGACGTGGAGATGATTCATTTAACACTTTCTTCAGTGAGACAGGAGCTGGTAAACATGTTCCGAGAGCAGTGTTTGTAGACCTAGAACCAACCGTAGTTGGTATGTATCCAACATTAAAGATCTTAAGTGAAAAAGTGAGGATCCTTTATGGATTCCCTACTGTCTTTTTTTGTTTGTTTAGAACACTATAGATTTTAAAACGTGTGTCTGGATGCTGCTTTGACATTTGTGGTTATTGTTATTGGAAAGAAATTAAATAATGGTCTACCAGTAACAATATCTGGAAAACAAGAGAACTTTTTTTTTTATCTGGATCATCTTTCCAGACTGCTGCACTGTATACAGTTTTGCTTGAGTGCTATCCAGTATTGTGTCTGTACCTGTAATGTAGTTTTCTGAGTGATCTCTGTGTTCCTTGAGTACAAATACTTCTTTGTGTGTGCCTGATGTTTACCCTGAAACAAAGGGGCAAAAGTTGTGCCAATTTCTTAGACCAGTCAGACAAGCAATGTGTAGTCAGAAATGCTGTCTACACTCTTTTGACACGTGTGCTTTGTGTGTAGTCACTAGGCAGCACACACAGAACTGAACAGATCAAATTTATGATGTGGTATTTTGGGTTTTTTTTGTAGATGAAGTACGTACAGGCACGTATAGGCAGTTATTCCATCCTGAGCAGCTCATTACTGGGAAAGAAGATGCAGCCAATAATTATGCCAGAGGCCATTATACCATTGGAAAAGAGATTGTTGATTTAGTGCTAGACCGCATTCGCAAACTGGTAAGGATTCATTTAGTATTTAAAGTAATTGATACAGCTCTATAGCAAGCTATATTGATGGTTTGCTGGTTTTTTTGTTAACAATTTTGTGCATAGTTAATTGTTCAAAACAAAATAAACCTTTTATTTCCTGGTGTGCCCCATCCCCCCCTTTAAATAAAAACTCAATCAGTTAAACTAGAACCTTTCAAGAACATTGTTTTTTAAATAATAACAATGTAAAACCAGCAAACTTATGACAAATGCTTTTGAATGATTAATACTGATTTCTCCAAAACCATCAATAACTTTTTTTCTCCCATTTTTTTTCCACCTCGTTATAGGCTGACCTCTGCACAGGGCTGCAAGGCTTCCTTATCTTTCATAGTTTTGGTGGAGGCACTGGTTCAGGGTTTGCATCACTGCTCATGGAAAGGCTATCTGTTGACTATGGCAAGAAATCTAAACTGGAGTTTGCAATTTATCCTGCACCACAAGTTTCCACTGCTGTAGTGGAACCCTACAACTCAATTCTAACTACTCACACAACATTAGAGCATTCAGACTGTGCCTTTATGGTAGATAATGAAGCCATTTATGATATATGTCGTCGTAACCTGGACATTGGCCGTCCTACTTACACCAATTTAAACCGATTAATTGGGCAGATTGTTTCATCCATCACAGCTTCACTACGTTTTGATGGAGCCCTCAATGTAGATCTGACAGAATTTCAAACTAACCTGGTTCCATACCCACGAATCCATTTCCCCTTGGTAACATATGCCCCTATCATCTCCGCTGAAAAAGCATATCACGAGCAGTTATCTGTGGCTGAAATTACCCATGCTTGCTTTGAACCAGCCAACCAGATGGTCAAATGTGACCCTCGCCATGGCAAGTACATGGCCTGCTGCATGTTATACAGAGGCGATGTTGTGCCCAAAGATGTCAATGCAGCCATTGCCACTATCAAGACTAAACGTACCATTCAGTTTGTGGATTGGTGCCCAACTGGATTCAAGGTATGTAGCCTATTAAGTACTTGTTATCTAAGTGATTAAGAATTGTGTAGTCTTCAGAGATGACAGTCGTGCTACAGTATTTTGATAAAGTACAAAATTGAGCTTGTTTATTTACTTGTATCATGGTGATTTTTGTTAACAGAAATGAATCTTTAAGCCTTGGCATTTCTAAGGAAAGTTCTCATTTGTTTTCTTGAAGGTGGGCATTAACTACCAGCCTCCAACTGTGGTGCCAGGTGCTGATCTTGCCAAGGTGCAGCGGGCTGTGTGTATGCTGAGTAACACAACTGCTATTGCAGAAGCATGGGCTCGGCTCGACCACAAATTTGATCTCATGTATACTAAGCGTGCCTTTGTGCACTGGTATGTTGGGGAGGGGATGGAGGAAGGAGAATTTTCTGAAGCTCGGGAAGACCTGGCTGCCCTTGAAAAGGATTATGAAGAAGTTGGCCTAGACTCAATAGAAGCAGAGGCTGAAGAAGGAGACGAATATTGAGAAAACTAACGCCTGGAAAAATCTGTTTACCGAAACAAAAAAAATCGCAAAACCCTGTTTGTTTTCAAATGTGATTCCAAATAAAGTTCCAAACATTATACTGCTGCTTTTTTTTCTTCTTCACTATTAATGTGCATATTCATGAAGGACAATTTGAGATTGCAGGTTTTGGTAGTGGATCTGTTACCTGCTTTAAAAGTACATAGTAATTTTTAGCTTCCTACATTAGCATAGTAAAAAAAAAAAAATCTCATATTCTTTACTAGTATGGTCACATGAATAGAGCTTTAGAGACACATGGAAGCATCTCTATCATAGGACATTGGACTTGTGCAGAAAGTGCTGACCCAGCCGGCTACGGCATGGTGCTAACAACACCAAGGTTGTGGTTTCAATCCTCCTATGGACCATTTAGCTAAGAGTGATCCTTGTGGGAATACTCTGTGAAATAACTAGGCTTTTGTTTGGGGGGGTTTGTTGGCTATTAAGAAAGAATTGGTGTATTTAAGTACGAAAAAGTCTGCTTTTGACCCTGGGAGAAGGAAGAACCCAGGTTTCAGTAGCCTAATGCATTAGGTACGCTCCTGCTGGCCGTAGCAGCTCCAAGCCGTGCCCAGGTGAAAGCTGCTCTGCATACAAACCACCGACCAAACACGCGTCAGCAAGGTCTTCCATTCATGAGCCACCGTTCCCAGTCTCACACTCCTCATGGATCACTGGCAGTTTCTCTCTCCACTCGACAGCTCCACCAGTGTACGGCGCTGCTCTGCCATGACGGAGGATTCCCGGGGGTGCTCACCCAGCAGCTGTCACGCCAAGGCCATTCGGAACCTTGTACAAGAGTACCTGTGCCGAGGCAGCCACACGGCCGCCCGAGCCCGCCCCGCGCAGCGCCGAGCGGAGGCGGCTCTGCCCACCGCGGAAGTGCTGGGCGCCGCCCCGGCAGACTGCGGGTGCCCGCTCCGCTGCCGCGGCGGAACTTTTCGGGACCATGGTGCAGCTTTACAATCTGCACCCGTTCGGGTCGCAGCGAGTAGTGCCTTGCAAGCAAGAACCGGCGCACTTCTGCTGCGGCCAAGACGTGCTGTTCGTGGCCAGCACGGCGGCCAGCTGCAGGGTGGACGTGTTCACCGTGCGCGAACAGGGCCGCTGCGAGGCCCTGGGCTCCTTCGCCACACTGGGTCCGGTGCTGCGCATGGCGCACAGCTCGGCAGGTCAGTCCCCGCCATCGCTGGGTCCGTGAGTGCTCGGCCGGGGAAACCGGGACGCGTGAGGTCTGAGTGCGTGGAGCGGCCCTGGGGCTCCGCCGGGTGGGGATGGAGGGCCAGCAGGGCCAGGGGCGGGAGGCGGGCGGAGAACAAAGCCGCTCGGGCTCTGCCGCGGAAGTAGTGCCTGGCCCTCCGGCCCGCGTCTCCCTCGGGCTCTTTCTCAGGGCGCTTCCGAGGCGGAGGTGGGGCGCACCTGCCTGTGCAGGCTGGCCTGCCGGCCGGGTAGGAAAGCGCGGGCCGCTCGCAGCGCCGGCAGCGCTCGGGCCTGCAGGGAGGGTGGGAGCCGCAGCTCCCTTCTTCGTCTGCCTCCTCCTCCGTGGCGGTCTGTGCACCTGCCCCTGACGGCTTTTTTTCTTTTTTCTTTTTCTTTTTTTTTTGGAGAGGGTTCGTTGATTTTTGTGTGTGGTTTTTTGTTTTTTTTTTTTTTTTTTTTGGGGGGGGGGGTTTTTTTTTTTTTTTTTTTTTTTTTTTGGCGGGAGGGGGTTTGTTTGTTTTGTTGTTGCTGTTTGTTTCCGTTTTTTTCTTGTTTTTTGTATTTTGTTTTTAGAGCACGGAGTGGGGTGGTTGTTCCAGCCCATTCCACAGCTTTTCATGAATCTATTGGTCCGTTGCTTTCCATGGTCTGTAGAGAACAAAACATTTCCTCATTAATGGATATCAGAAGGCGGGGCGGTGGGGGGAATCTTGTGTGCAATCACAACTTACAGAGAGGATTCACACAGGAGTTACTCTGATCCTACATCTCTAAGTCTTTGCTTTTAGTAGTATGTGAAGTGTGTGCCCCCTAGCAAAGAAACTTGTGCTTTGTATTCAGTTAGAGGAAAATTGGTGAAAACTGTTTTTGGAATTTTTTGTAAGAGTTGAGACTTGAAGGTGTTCTTTGTAGCATACTACAGCAGATAATGAGCTCAGAAACTGTAATCTATTTTTAAATTATTATCAGTATGACTGCTTTCTTTTAAGGAGACTATCTGGTGACAATTGAAGAAAAAAGCAAAGCAACTTTCCTGAGAGCATATATGAACTGGAGATGCATGTCTGCAGGGAGTTCTCGCGTGTGTGTCCGGATGGTTGGTCACAAGATGGAAGAGTCATACGCTGAAGCCTTAAAAGAACAAATGTCAGTTGTTGAAATGCCACTTTCAGATCCTCCACTGTGCATTTCATGTTGTCCTGTGAATGGAGATCTACTTGTGGGCTGCAAGAATAAACTTGTCATATTCTGTTTGAAATACCGTGTCATAAACCAGAATTTGACTGTGTTAGATTTTGAACGCTCCTTAATTTTGCACATTGACAACCTCATTCCTGCCGAAGTTGCATTTTGTGCCAGACATATAGCCATAACAACAGAGCTGGATGTTCTAATCCTGAAACTGGAACTGATCCAGCAAAGTGCAGACAGGACAGAGCAGTGTGCTCAGGGAGTCAGTGCACCAGAGAAGGCTATGGATGGAGGTAGGTGCTGAAATAAATTTTTAAATTTTTTTAATCTCCAAGAATCTGCTAATTGATTCCCGTTGTTCTGAAAGTAGTCTCAAACAAGGTCTTGGCCCTTCAGAAAATATTTCCAGATTGTCCTATCACTGACTATCAGCTGAATATTCTAGAGCATGAAAGGTTGTACCAACCTGCAGTTGGAGGTAACATTTCAAACAAATATGCCATCGTGCTCCACCTTTAGAAGATAGTACAGCCTCTGCAGACACAGAATTAGGTCCCTGTTTTAGGATGCCACAATGGGCCAAGTTAAAGTAGTAGTAGTTCAGTGTGCTGTGTTCAGAAAAATTATTCTATCAGTGTCACTGCCTAAGTAACTGGCTTACACAATGAGGAATGTTTCTGTGGTGATATCTGTATACTTTTTTAACTGTTAGGATCACAACCTGCCATAATCAAGCAAATTCTCCTTTTTCATTCCTTTATCTTATTCAAGAGCTTGTCTTAGAATTATAGAAATCCCAGAAATAGATGTACTCAGGAGGTTTCATTCCTGTATATTGCAGGATATCAATCCATATGTAATCAATTATCAGTTCCCACTTTTCCAAACATATATGTATCAGATCAACACCAACAAACCTTAGGAAGGTCCTTTCTTTATAATTGAAGAAACTTAAAAGGAGGGTCATTTAGAAATGGAAACTGTGCCTAGAAAACATTTATAGGTAAATAAGTATTTTCAGATGGGAAACAATATAAATGCAGTGTTCTTCACTGAGTGAAGATGGGTCTTTTTTCAGATAATGGTGTTCTCCCCTTGTTTTTTTTTTATTACTAAAACCACATAGAAAACAGTTCTAGTTACCTTCTGAGTATTACTAGGGTTTGCTTTCCAGGATTTAAGTGAGCTAAAGATAACACAGCTTCCTCTGATAGCTGCATTTGCCTTCTCAAAACCTCTTCAGCAAAAAGTGAGCATTTTTTGATGACCAGTCATTTGTGGCACCAGTTGCCGTTGACTCACCTTCTAGAGTTTACCTGTTAGGGTTTTTTTTTCCCAGAAATCTTGACTCTTAAGTATTCAGACTGTTAAGGCTTAAATAGGAATTGTTCCCATCTTCTAGTATGGCTGTTTTCAGAATCTTGTGGTTTGAGGAAGCCAATGCTAGCAGGGTAGCTGTAATTGGAGTATTTAATCAATATTGTCGTACTATTTTCTTACTGCTGTGGTTGGAGTGGTTTGAACAATTAAGATAGCATTTTCGTTGCTCAGGTGTGAAAGATGAAAGTCCTTCAACACATCCTTTACAGCTTGAATTAGATGAGTTCATCATATGTCAGAAGCCAGTGGAACTGCTTGGGGAAGAAAGTAAGCTGTGTGAGATACCTGTCACACTGGAATGTACAGAGTTACCTACAGAAGACACAAAGCACTTCCAAGTGCAGTATCTGCTTTTCAGGTATTACAGATGTGTTTTCCCTTTTATGGGTTAATTTACTACAAAAGACCAAACTGCATTGTGTGTTTTGTCTTTTTGAAAGGAAATTCCTGATGTTTTGACTTCTGGGTGTTTTTGTAAGGTTTGGTGTTTCTTTTGAACTGAGGAAATCCTGGGATACCGAGGAAAGTCCATTTTTTAGTATCTTGGAATATTTCAGTTGGAAGGGATCTGCAACAATCATCTAGTGCAATTGCCTGACCACTTCAGGAGGGAGCCACTCTTAAAGTATATTGTTAAGGGCACAGTCCAAACGCCTCTTAAACAGTGACAGGTCTAGGACATCAGCCATCTCTCTAGGAAGCCTGTCCAGTGTTTCACCATTCTTGGTAAGGAAATGGTTCCTCGCATCAAGTGTAACCCTCCCCTGGCACACCTTTGAGCCTTTTCCAGGATCCCATGGAGAACAGTTCAGCACCTGTGCCTCCAGGTCCCCTCCTCATGAAGCTGATTTAGTCTTCCTTTTTCACCAAAATTTCTATCAAAAGCTAAGGAAGAATTGATGCCAGGATCCAACAGTGAATTCCAAAGCAAAGCAGGGAAAAGGATGACACATAGTAGGAAAAAAATAGTGTTGGACATGGCATGGTGTTCCATATAGCTCAGTGGACTAAAAAGAAAGATGAAAAAAAAGATTAAATTGAGGTCAAAATCAGTTGTGGGATTTCAGCTGTGTGATGTCAAAATTTGACATGCATCTTGCAGACAAGCAAAGAGAGAGGATTTAGGTTGCAGGAACTCTATTAATAGAGTTCCATCTAACTGTACCATGTGCTTCTTTGCATTGCTATTTACGGCATTGGTAGTAGGAGTGTGGATTGTTGTTGAGTGTTAAAACATGAGCTTTCCTTCTTTTATCCAGTGCTGTTTACTTGTCCAAAGTATATAATTGTAATTTTTCACTGCAGTCCCATGATTTT